GGAAGGTGAGGGCAGCGGCGGGGCCTCCCGCGCCCCGGCCCTTGACCCTGCACGGCGCTGGGAGAGGCCTCGCAGCCCGGGGTGCGTTCCCCATCCCTGCCGGTGAGGGAGCGCTCGCACAGCCCGCCCGGCGACGGGACGGGCACGGCCGCTCCCTTGCTCTGGATGGGCAAATTACCCTTGCTGGGGCTGGACAGAAGCTCCCTGCGCTGCGTTTTTCAGAACTGGGTGCTCTGGACGAAGGGATCGAGCGCACGCTCGGTCAGTTTGCCGATGACACCAAGTTGGGCGGGAGTGTTGATCTGCTGGAGGGCAGGAAGGCTCTGCAGAGGCATCTGACAGGCTGGCTCGATGGGCCGAGGCCAACTGTGTGAGGTGCAACAAAGCCAAGTGCCGGCTCCTGCACTTCGGTCACAACAACCCCATGCAACGCTACAGGCTGGGGGAGGAGTGGCTGGAGAGCTGCCCGGCAGAAAAGTACCTGGGGGTGTTGGTTGACAGCTGCCTGAACATGAGCCAGCAGTGTGCCCAGGTGGCCAAGAGGGCCAATAGCATCCTGGCTTGTATCAGGAATAGTGTGGCCAGCAGGACCAGGGAGGTGATAGTGCCCCTGTACTCAACACTGGTGAGGTTGCACCTCGAGTACTGTGTTCTGTTTTGGGCCCCTCACTCCAAGGACATCGAGGTGCTGGAGCGTGTCCAGAGCAGGGCAACGAAGCTGGGGAAGGGTCTGGAGCACAAGTCTTATGAGGAGCGGCTGAGGGAGCTGGGGTTGTTTAGCCTGGAGAAGAGAAGGCTGAGGGGAGACCTTATTGCTCTCTACAACTACCTGAAAGGAGGCTGTAGTGAGCTGGGGGTCGGTCTCTTCTCCCAAGTAACAAGTGATAGGATGAGAGGAAACGGCCTCAAGTGGCACCAGGGCAAATTTAGATTGGATATTAGGAAAAGTTTCCTCATGAAAAGGGCAGTCAGGCCCTGGCACAGGCTGCCCAGGGAAGGGGTTGAGTCTCCATCCCTGGAGGTATTTAAAAGAAGGGTAGATGTGGTGCCTGGGGACATGGTTTAGTGGTGGACTTGGCAGTGCTGGGTTAACGGTTGGACTTGATGATCTTAAAGGACTTTTCCAACCTAAATGATTCTATGATTAACTAATGGCTGCCTTGGGAAGGTTTGATATCTCAAATTCTTCTGTATTCTGATGTAATCCAACTCTTGCGTTTCCAGGTTGCTGAGCAGCTGCTCTATGAGCACTGGAAGAAAAACAATGCTGAGCTCCGGGAGGTGATGTTACTTTCTTTTTAGTCCCTGCTGCCTTGTGTTTATTAAACCAGTTTTTAACTGGAAAGTCATCGCATATCTACTGTTGTCATTCATCTTGAATCACAGCAATTGTCCTAAGCTCTGATAAGCAAAAGGCAAAGAAGAAAATCGCTTAACTGTCTAAGGAGTCCCCTCAAAGCTGGTATTTTTCAAAAATTTTTCAGTGCCCGTGATGTAAATATCTCTGGTGCTTTTTAAAGCTGTGCCCACCCTGTCCTTGGTGCTTCCTTATTCTTTATTCCACCAACCTGCTGCTCTAGCTGCCACAGCTCTGGTTTCAGTGTCACTGTAGTGTTTCCCAGAACTGGCATGTGACATTGACCCTCAGCTTGTGACCTGGTGGGCACCGAGGACACCCAAACGAGCCCACCTCTGCAGAGGCAGATCCTGCTGGGACTCCAGGGCTACGGCTGGGCCAGGAGGAGCCCTACAGAGTCTGTCTGGATCCTGGGGGACAGGAGAGCCTCTGGCACTAATGGTGATGCCGCATCTGTTGTCATCTACAGGTAGAGTCGGAGCTGCACAGGAAGCACGTGGCGGAGGCTTGGGGTGACCAGCTAACGCAAAAAAACAAGGTACGCTGGGGTAGCCCTGGTGTTACTGGTCACTAGGGCGGAGTCCTGGAATGCGTGAGCAGGTGGAGGTGTGACACTGTGTGCCTTTTGACCCGGCCGGCAGACAGCTTGCCTTCCTGTACGGACACGGTTCCGATGTGGAAGGAATAGGACTTGGCTCTTTGTTTTTCTCACACCAGTCTTGAACCAAATAATGACTGAGGTCGCTGTGCTCTGTCCCATAGCGATGGGAAGTTCTGGCGTCCGCAGAACGAGAGGAGCTGCTAACAGGAAGGATGCTTTTAATGAAGACCCGTTGTTCCTGTTTAACATGCTATCCGTCTCATAGAAAATCCAGTGCTATCTGCTGATCAGATCCCTTGCAGGATTTGGTGCGGCACTGGGTGCTTGTCGAACTGCAGTGCAGAGCCAGTGCAAAGCTGTAAGGGCTCGGTATTTGAATACACACATACATATGGGAATACAGGGATTTTTGATGTGGGGGAATAATAAAGGCCTTCAAATACAGATTTCAGAGTTAACTAAAACAATAATCTATGCTGTAATAGGAAAAACTGAGTGTATTTTTAAGACCGCCTGTGCTTGTATCAGACCTGTGGAGGGTCCTGCGAAGGACGTGTATAGACTGGTAACCATTTTCAGGCAGTGATCAGCGATAGTTTTGCTTTGTCCTTGTGTTCCTTCCTAGCATATTTTGTTCCATATTTTCCCAATACGTGTCAGCTTGCAAGAATTTGATTTGTGCATTTCCTGAGCCAGAATTTGTTTCTTTGTGTTAGCCTAACCTTAAATGCCATGCTTTCTTTTGGCTCGGAAAGCAAGAAGCAACTGAACTTGAAGAGAAAAAACGTTATGAAAATGAATATGAAATTGCGCGAAGGGAAGCGCTGGAAAGACTGAGACAAGAGGAAGAGAAGCGTCGGCTGGAAGAGAAGAAGCAAGCAGAGGCGTTGCTTCAACAAATAGAAGAACTGAAATTACAGGAGACAAAGGTAATCTTCAGTTTCTTCTAATTTGAGAAGGAAATTCATTGTTTCGCTTGGAAATACAGCAATGCTGACCTGACCTCTTCCCTCCAGGTTTCTGCTAGATTAAATCTGGAACAAAGTTAGTTGTGACATAATTTCTGTTGGTAATGTAGACCTCTCCTGTGAACACTGGCATATTAACTGCATTCCGGTAGCTTTTGTTTGCTCCTCATGAAATGTGAGCGCCCTTTTGTGCTGCACCAGATGAGAAAAAGATTTATAGAAACTTCTAAGTGGGACAGGTTCAGGTCAAAGGCTTTTTCAGCTGGGGCTTCTCACGGCGTCTCTTGAGCTGTGAGCCACTGAGCCACAAATTAAATTAACGTGGAATATTTGCTGCAGCGAGGATTTTGACTGCTTGCAAAGGAGCAGAATGGGGTACAAACTCTGGTACAAACGCGCTCTCTGGGATGTCCTGCCTCTCTGATGTGCTCTTTCTTGGTGGTTGTTTTTTCCTTTTAGGCAACAAAGCTGAAAAAAGAACAAGAGAATTTATTAAAGCAGCAGTGGGAGCTGGAGAACTTGGAAGAAGAAAGGAAACAAATGGAAGAGCACCGGAAGAAGAAAGAGCTTGGGTACGAGATCGAGCGTAGCTTGTTTCAGCAGGGCTTGGATAGAATCTGTTCCTACATCCGCAGTAGCACTTGCGGCACATGGAGGTATTTCAGATAGAAGTGGTGGGTTGTAAATATTTGGGTTTTGATGGAAGCGCCCAGAACAGCCCACGAGCAAACGCATCGGTGCCGTTACTTCTCTTTGTTCATGTTAGCAGTAGCAGGTACCTCTGTCGGCTGTAAGTTACATCGTTGTAGATGTACCTTCTCGAGTGCTGGTGTAGATCAACACAGGGCTTTGGAGTCGGTTTGAATGTGTTCTGTTCTTTCTCCTTCAGCCGCTTTTTGAGGCATCAGTGTAATGCCCAGCTAAAGAGACGAGCCCAGCAGATACAAGAGGAGCTGGTAAGAGAAAGTACCCCTTGATTTATACTTTCTAGATACTGTGTGCTGAAGAAACTTGTTCTTTGTGGTTTGTTTATATGTCTGCCTCTGATGCCTACAGATAATTAGTTTGGAAGCCCCTTCCAGCTTGTGAACAGGGCTGGAGCAAAAAGATCATGGGGAAGCCAGCAGACTGGGTGTCCTCCTGAGCACACCCTTGACGCTGTGTCACCACTACCTCGTAGAGAGTAGCTCTGCACACAGGCTGGAAGTGTGCTGGATAGTGGTTAATCATCTTGTGGTTTTTCTCAAGGAGATAGACAGGCAAATCTTAGCAGCCCTCCTCGAGAAAGAAGATGAGGATCAGCGCCGCCAGTCTGCGCGACGAGAACGAGCAGTTGCAGATGTTGCCTGGATGAAACGTGTCATTGAGGAACAGCTCCAGTTAGAAAGGGAGAGAGAGGCAGAGCTGCAGACTATTTTTAGGTGAGTCTGCTCACCTCTGAACATTGTCTAAAGAGACCATGTGTGCTGCATGTTCCTGCCTGTTGGAATTCGTGTTTGTTAAATAGGCTTTGAAAGCGGACGTTAGAAAGCGGTGTCTGGTTGGCCCTGCAGTTCCAGAAGCACGGCAGTAGGGGTGAGCGCTGCCCCTTCGTTCCCTGTGCTAGTGATCAGCGTGCCAGTACAGACAGACCCAAAGCCTTTCTGTCAGGACAGAATCAAAGCCTGTGGTTGTTTTTCAATGACTTTGGCCCAGCACCTAGTCCATAATTTCTGTTACGTTGGCTCTAATGCAAGAGCTTTAATAACAAAAAAAGGTAGTAAGGCAGAGACAGCAAGAATTACCTTTTAGTTTTAAGTACTTTGTAACCAGCTTTCAATGATTCTGCATTACCGATGTGGAGGGGTTTAGTCTAAGTGACTCCAAAACCTGAGTATTGTTTCCTGTTGTGTCTCGGAGCTGGTAGATAAAAGCTGCCTCAGGTTCCTTGTTCAGGTTCAACTTACACTCTCCCCAGTGCAGAGAGCATCTTCACTGGTGACAGGACAGTGCGTGCTACCATCAAGTTTTAGTTAAAGGTTTTGTTGCAGAGGCAAGACTTGCAAAATCTTCAGCTTTTCCAGCAACGCCCTTAACTCCCTGCCTCCTGTGTGAAGTAGTGTTCTTGTTAAGAGGCAAGCTTCCTCCCGAGGCCCTTTGTGCCTGGGGCAGACCGGAGCACCCAAGCAGCCCTGCTACAGGCCAGCGTTTCCTCCTGCACGTTACCTCCTGCCGTTCAGTAATGGGAGAGCAGAGCAATTCTCTGAAATAAGCGCAGGTGGGGCGGACGCGCTGGCTGCCTGGGAACAAACGGGAAGAGAAACCCGAGTACTCCTCTAAAGCACTGGGTAGCTCGCCTATGCCCATGGAGTGTATAGGGGGTTTTTAATTGTAAGTAGTAACCTTAGAGATAATTCTTCCTCTCTCCTTTAGAGAAGAAGCTAAAAAAATGTGGGAGAAGAGGGAAGAAGAATGGGAAAGAGAGAAGGCGGCCAGAGATCGCCTGATGAACGAGGTGATGACCTTTTTTGATGAGGTGTCTCTCTTGGTTCGATGAAGCCATCGTTCCAGCTGTGACCCTCCACCCTCCAGAGGGTCACAGCCTTCAGTAGCCAGGGCAGAATTTTTCTGCTTGTCCGATACATTTTCTGAGAACTGTTGAACCGTGTGCACTGAGATTTCCCCAGTTCTGTTTCTAAGGCTGGCCCCTTCCTTGTCTTACCTTCTCCCTTCACCCTCTCACTTCACAAAGGTCCTGGCAGGCAGGCAGCGCCAGATCCAGGAGAAGATGGAGTTAAACAGACGAGCCCAAGAAGAGTCTATAAAGTATCGAGAGCAGCTGATTAAAGAACTTGAAGAGGCAAAAGAACTGAGTAGGCGAGAGAAGGAGCAGGAGGAGGAACTGAAGACAGCCCACAGGCAGGAGCTGGAGGCGCAGGTACAGCACGCTTCCCAGACACGCACCTGCTCTGTGGCTGATCTCGCCGTAACAGCCCCGTCTTCTCTGTGCCCAGCTGACAGAGCGCCGCTTACAAGAACGGGAGGAGCAGCAGCGCCAGAGGGAGGAGGAAGAAGAGGAGAGATCAGCCCGGCAGCGCTGCGAGGAGCTAGTGCGGCAGGAGGCCAAGCGCATGGCTGAGCAGGGGTACCGCGGCAGGGTAGGTAGCAGCGGGACGGGGAAGCCTGGACATCCAGGCCCCCGACACGCGAGCAGAATCGTTGTTGCTTCTGATCTGCACCTTTGTTGCCGTGCAGCGCCAGGGTGGAATGCTGGGCCCGTTCCTTCCCTGGTCCTATTTTTAACAGCAGTCTATAGTTCTCTCTTACAAATTGCTTTTCTGTTGCTGATACTGATATTTTACATTCCAATTTTTAAATAACTTCGGAGGCAGACTTGTTGCTACTGCCTCAAATGTTGTTCTAATTATTTTCAGCACTATCAGCTGCATTAACGCAGTTGGTACAGCGCATCTCGGCTGCTTGATGTCTTTGTATTTTCTTTACGTTAGCTCTAAAAACTAAGCTGAATTTGAGTAACCCTACCTAAACCACGTGCCCAGCAGATTGTATTTTTCATACTAAACTATGAGCTACTCTGCAGAGTAACTCACCCCGGTCATTTATTAGAGAGTAGCTCCTAAAGTCAGGCTGGAAGGAGGTGTTACTGCCTTCAAGTATCAACTTCTAAACGTTCTGATGCTTTTTCTTGGAGGGCATTCTGTACTCTCTGGAGTACCTTTGCCTGCTGAATAGCTCGTGTGTGGAAGATCAACTGTAGAGCCCACGATGTAGTTACGATCTTTGTTTTGACCCTGTTAGCTCTACAGTTACCCAAAAGCAGCATGGACCTGAGGATTCTCGCCCTTTGCACCTGAGGAACGAGCACTAAACGCAGTTGCAGACTACAGAAAGAAAACTTTGAAGAATCAAGGAACTCCCGAAATAATAGTGGCTTTGGAATAGCCTACAGTGCTGCCGAGACTCAACTCGGTAGGTTTCTGAAAATATTTAGCTGTGGCCCAGCTGAATACAAGAGCAAATTTCTGCTGACTTCAAAAACGCGGAGGCGTGCGCATCCTTGGAGGACCGGACTGCTTCGCTTACTCCGTGTTCGGGAGCTGTGATGATGTATTTTAGTATGTGCTGCAGTGGGGCAACACAGCAAATAAAGGGGCCCTCTGGATCTAAACCGTGAAGGAATCTGTGCCTGCTGCAGAACAGGAGCTGTACGCTACCTGCTGCCTTTGCTGTTGAAGTGTCAGGCTCCCACTAGGAGCCCAGCTGGCTTTTAGGAGTTAATTCCTAACACAGTGCAAATCAGTAAGATAACGTCTGCTGTAGGAATAATTCTTAACATGCCCAGTTCCTCTCCAGAAGGTGCTGAAGACTTGGTTCATTTCTTTACGTAAGCAAAGAGCTGCAGTGACAAGAGGGGAGGTTTAGGTGATTATTGCACTTGACTCCTTGCCATCACCTTAGGCAGCCGCAACTTAAAATCAGTCCCCCCGCGTTGCTTCAGCTGCTGCGGCGCGTTCAGAGCCCGTCACGGGGGGTGAGGGGCCGTCACAAAGGTGGGTGCTGTTTCAGCACTGCAGGCTTTCCCTCACCTATAGGAACTTCTTCAACATCTTTTCTTTAGAGACCCAGCAGTCAAATAACCCCACAGAATTTTGCACACTGAAAGGGTTTTAGCATTTTATAGTAATAGAGTAAACAAAAGATTAAGTCAAAATATTGTACAGACAGAACAACACTGATAAATACAAGTTTTGGAAAAAGGCAAAAAAATTTTTACTTTCCTATGCAGCATTTTGTAAAGAAAGAGGAGATCTAGTCATAAAAGAAAAAAAAAAACACCCACTGTTGTTATTTCAGGTATTACAAATCTTCTGCCCCGCAGTGCTGTGTGACGTACTACTCTGCAGTTCCACCGGTGGTTTTGCACCACTGCCTGTTTGTGAAGAGCTGATGTAGCACATCAGCATGCGCTCAGACCACTTCTGCTTCACTGAGAACATCAGAAAATTACCTGTCGTGCGTGACAGTCACCATGGGTTGGGAGTGAGGACACAGCGTGACCGTAACCAGCCTGGAGCAAACGTTTGTTTGGAGACGGGGGAAGTGCCAGAAATGCTGTTTCAAGTGACAGAATGGGAAATCAATTCCGGGTTGGCCCTGCTTTTATAGCTAGGCCTTCCAACAAGCAGAATGGTTGATTTCAGAAAATCTGGGGCTAGCGTAGCTGGAACAAGGGCTTGCAGTTATCAAAGCATTGGGGTTTTTTTGTTACAGAGGCAAGTTTAAACAACTGATAGCTTACAACATTACTTGGTGTTACCCTGCTTTGGAAATCAGGGAAGATATGTTAAAGAAAAGCATACAATGGTGTCCTGAGAGATTTAAAAATACCATCCGCTGCCTTTCACCGACGCCAAGTCAAGGAGAAGTTCCTAGAAGATTATCCATGTATTTAATTGCCAGTAGCATAATGCTGCAGGAGGTTTTACAAATGTCTTTTGCAGTTCTAATCCCAGCCTGCCTGCATTCCCGTGAGTTTAGAGACAGTCCTGGAATTGAGAAGTGCAGAAAGGAAATTAAAAAACCCCACAACAAAGACCATTAATTTACTGGGTCATCACCTGCCCTCTCTATTCCCTCCCTCCCTCCCTCCCTCCCTCCAACATGCACTAATTTAAAAAGGGAGCTAATTACACCATACAAGCCTCCAACAGTGTTATGGCACTTAGTGTTTATATATACATACAAACACGGTGTGATGTGAAAAGGAACCAACCGCTGCACTTTCGTTCGTTTGTTCACCTAAATATGGCAATTCTTCCACCAGAAAGCCTTGACAGTTTGTGGTTCTGGCAGACCACACGCTGCAGACCTGTTTGTGGAACAGCAGATAGCCGCTGTCGAGTGAAAACTGTCCGAGTGTTCCTGTCAGCTGCTGCCACGTGACAGCTGCTGCTGGTCTGTACTTTGCTCTTAACTAAAGGACCGCGTTTAAGTGGCTGCCCGGCTCCTTGAAAATGACAACACACTTCCAAATGGGACACAGGCGGAGGCAAAAATGAGTGATTTTTTTTTTTCCCCCCATGGAATTCGGATTCCCCAAGAACTCTCATGTTTGAAAGTACGGACTGACAGAGTTTTGTGAACTGTTACGACTGAAAAAACCTGAAACACACACTGACATTTGTCACCCACCTACCTTTCTAACAGGCAGCCTAGCTTGGCTTACTCCAGATGTAGCTTGTAAAATTTTGAAAGATTTGCATAAAACTTACCAGATATCAGAAATCTTTTCACATTTGGTTATGTTGAGGTACAGAGGTTATATGCTATGGCAGACACAGCTGCTTTTGCACTGGCACTTTTCTAACTTCCTTTTTTTGTTTTTTAATTACCACAGAAATCTTTAGTGAAATTGCATCTTGAGTTACTGAGCAATGCTGCTGCAAACAAGATGGTGCCTTGAAGATGACAGTAAAATTCTGTAGGAGACTTATGAATGAATTATTAAATCGGAAACAAAGGATAATATTTTAACCACTAATGCCCTAAAGTAACATCAAACATATATATTAATGGCATAGTGACAACTAAAAGAAATAACTACTAAGTTTCAAATTCCTTCCAAAATAGATAAAGTGACAAAGACCTCGTATAGTTACACGCAATAAGCTTGGATGCCCACAACTACTATTGTTTTAGCAGACTAAAAACATATTATTGCACAACAGTTGATATGGGAACAGATACTATTGGGCTTGTACTCCCTTATCAGGACTACAGCCTTCTTCCTGCTGGGGAGCAGTTACGGTCCTGGAGCCTTCAGAGCCCGTTTCGCTGCAGGTTTCTCGGTCGGCAGCATCACGGCACGTGAGGCTCCAGGACGGGCAGAGCAGAGGCGAGATTCTGCCCTCTGATGATACGCGCGGCTGAACGCAGCGGGTTTTGCAAGCAATATCTGAAAGCAGAACGTGGCCCCAAGGAAACATCTAGCAAGAGCTCGATACAACGCTGGTACGTGATAATGGCTCAACAGCTATTCGCAACATGCTATTATCTGTAACTAAACCGGCAACGCAGGCACAAAATAAGGCAGTGGGTTAAATTAATCATAAAATTGTTAGAAAACATGCAAAAATAATACTGAGTTTTAAAAAAGAGTTTCTTGCCCCTTTAGTTTGTCTCATAAAAATTTGAATAGTTCCACACCTATGTTTAAAATTCAACCTTTAAAAAACAAGACTAAAAAGCCAAGTGTGACTCAGTTGTTGTTCTCTTTGGTTGTGATGGTAACCAGCTGTTTAGCAGCCTTGGCGATGTCATAGGCGCACTGGATAACTTGCTGCGTGACCAGCTGGATGTCTGTCGTAGGGCACGTCTCCACGGGAAGGGTTTTTTTGCACTCGGATTGGAGTCTGTAGGCACTAGATGTCAGCAGACGCAAAGAAGTCCTTACCAGTTCAGATTTGGGTTTCTGGGAAAAGAAAGCAGAAGTTGAACTTGACAGAAGAACAAAGCTGGTTTAGGGTCTCTCTTAATTAGCTGGCAGTGGTTCACAAGCGTTCTTTAATACGAAACTTCTGCTGCTAGGGCCCTGCTTTCTGCACGGACTTCTCTGTGCTGTAGAACGTAAGACATCTCTGCAGAGATGCGGGGTACGCAGCGTGTACACGACAATCCGTTCAGGTAGGCACAACAGCATTAGATTTTCCTTGCAGTTTTAGAGAGGTAGATAAGAGTTTACAAAAACTTAATCATGGAGATTTCCCTCCCTAAAATTTGCTGTGAAGAAACAGATGCTTTGGTAGGTGGATAACAGATCTAAACATACCTGCAAGTAAGAAATGCAGGCAACGGCATTCAACTGGAACCATGAGGGGGACGAGTCTAGCAAAATGCCTGGATAACCACATGACTCCTCAAGCTAAATGCAAGTAGCCTCCAGTTTTGGAGGAGCTGCGTCCAGTTCTTAGAGTTTGAAGTTCAAGAGTAGAATGAAAGGCCTGGACTCACAAATTAGCCCTTCCCAATTGGCATGCTAACAAATACAAAGATGCGAGATTTGACAAAAACACCTAGTCGTTTCTCCCTACCTTCAGCTTTTGGTTCTCATTTACTGAAGGGAAATCCACTAACGAGGAATGAGGCCAGAAACACTTAAAAGCTGAAAGGTACTTACTTTTGGGAACAGGGCTGCCATTTCCGTTACTGCCACATGTATTCTCTCGGAGCATGGTATATAGCTGCAAAAAGATGCAATGTATCATTCATTATGTAAAGACTCCCTTTCCTCTTCAGTCTCACTAGTCAGTGGCTATTATTCTGAAAACAACTGAGTAACAAAACCCCCATATGTGTTCTAAAAATATCTTTGTAGGCTGCACTGAAGGCAGCTGAAGTAGGTAGTGCAACACCCAGTATGGTGACTCCTAGCGTCTCCTCAGCATTCCCCAGCACACTGCACCCCAAGTTTGTATGTAACTATGCGACTTCAGAAAAAGCAAGAACTTAACCGATAATACAAAATTATTTCTTAAGTTTTCATTATTCTTCAATCAAAATTTGTTTGAAGGAATAACTGTCCGTACCTATTGCACCAAACATTGTCAGAAAAAGTCTCAATTTGTATGCAATTATGGAAACGATTCCATGAATATTAACTGCACATGAATTCATATACTAGCATTTCCTAATCCCCCCCCCGCCAACTATTCAAATATTAGAATTTGACTCCAAATTGTACAGAAAATTGCTCAGCTCGTTCTCTTTGGCATATGCACAATCGACATGTTATTGTTACGTGTGGGAGAGCATGCCCAAGCAAACTGGTTCACGTAAGTCAGGCACAAAGTAAAGTAAGATTCTGCAGCTTGAAAATATTTAACCAAAATCTGGTGATACAGAGGTGCTCTGGAAAAAAACCATACGTTTTTCTTCAGTGCAGTGTTGACAATCAAAAGCAGATTAAAAAAAACCACTTTGTATGTGGGATTTGAGTAAGTTTAGCTTACTGCCATTTTAAGGAAATCTCTATCCGTTTGTTTTGAAAGAGCTCGTTCTCCATAAGCCAAGAGACTGCAAAACCAGACTACTAAAAGAAAAGTTTTTAAACTGCAAAGGATCTAAGCAGCTAAAAATATCCAGTAATCTCTGAAGAAAAGTTAAAAAACCCCACAAAGGTGTCTGAATTGATTTTATGTTTCGAAGTTGAATTTTGCCCATCCAAACTCTTAAAAATAATTTAACAGCCAAGTGTTGATATTTGTAGGACTGTCTTGTCTACACCTCTGAAGCAATGCAATTCTTCTGCATTTCTTTTCCATGTGTAAGTTATGAAGCAGAAGCCTTTAAAAAAGCACTTTGTACCTAAGTTACCAAAATACAGTAAACTCAAAAAACTGTATTCCAAACGCTTGGCAGCAAGACCTGAAGTCTGACCTCCATAAGCTTTTAACCCATCCGTTCTCGGCTAAGCTCTGAGCGCTCTCTCTAACAAACACGTGCCTCTCTGGGGCAGCAGCCGGGCTGGAAGCTTTAGGTTGTTGCAGAGATGCACACTGAGGACACGCCTTGATTCCAAGATTTACTTCCATCCCTGTATCAGTTCATTACCAGTGGAAGCCAGGAATGCAGCACCGTGCACCTATTTCCCCCTTCTCATTTGACGAACTGGAAGGTTAAATGCCTGCTGAGAATGGGGTGTGCCAAACTTCCAGCAGAGAATTCATACCTTGCTCTTTTGGTAATGTTTAACTGAAGGTAAAACATCACGTGAAGCTAACTTAAGAACACCAAGATGCCTTCTTGGATGGATTTATACACAGTAAACAGACAACGCGCAATTCTCATACAGCAGCTTACAGATGCATGCATCTCCAAACTACCAACTACTTTCACAGTGTGCGAGTTTTAGGCCAAATATTCAGTAATTCTGTTGAGTTAGCTGACAAAACAAAGGCAGATTCCATTAGTCCTCATAGATTTCACTTCTGATTTATATACGAAATGAAAATTGGTCTGTTCAAAATAGATCTTAAAACTATTTACCATAAGCTCCTGTGAAGCGCTGTGTTAGTGTGGTTTGTCAAAAGTCTAATTTCAAGAGACTCGATTTTATGCTTCAAAGACTCAATTTCAGCGTAAGTTAGTTAATGTGATTCAATCTTAAGCAAGAGAATCTCAAAATCACAAAGCAACGCCATTCAAGAAAAATATTCAGCACCTGTAGATTCTGGTAGATCATTGCCCTTTCAAGCAATAAAAGAACAAAAAACCAGGCCCCCCGTCATGATTTATGCAGTCATCTTGCAATACCAAAGGTGCAAAAATAGGTCACTTGCAAATGCACTGAGAAAGCAGCAACACACTGGGGTCATTTTGGCAATGCAGGAAAATTCCTTTAAAAAGGAGCCTTTCCATATGTCTCAAGTCACATGAGTTCTTCCCAATAAACGAAAAGTGGAGAGAAGTCTTCCAAGTTCCCTGTAATTCCCATTCTGCTATTGAGTTAACAATTAATTTGCTCCCTGCGAGCCACACTGAACAGCACCTCACCTCATTAAAAAGCCAGTGTGCTGATTAAACCCTCCGCTAACAAGGAGAGAAAGGCCTAAGAATTACTTGCATGAAGAAGACCAAGATTAATGACACATATTTCATACTGTGTTCTCTAGGTTAGCTGCAAAGTTTACAGTGTCTCTTGGAGGAATGGCTTTATTTTATAGTGTAAACACTCACTGTAAGCTCCTTAAATAAGCTGATGCATTTGTTGAGTTTACACACATTCCAGTAAGACTACAGTCAAGTAGTGACAGCTTGGAAAAAAGAATGCATGATGAGCAGTCCCGTGCGGTAACCTCTGCCTCCAATCCTGGTATTTGTCACTGGCCGTAATACCTGGGGTGAGAACTGGGGAAGTTCTGTTTGAAAGAACATCTCGCTTAAATTTCATTTTTATTTTAGGCATTAATAAACAATATTTTGGTCAGGTTGGAAGATACTATATAAACACACATCTTTTTTCACTGATTCAAGATAGGAATGATCTTATTTGACACACCAGCTGTATAAACAGTTGAGGGCCTAAAGCTGTCAGTTGTGAATGTTGCATGTTGGGAACCGTGAAACTTCTGCTACTTTAGAAACAGCGCACAGAAGCAGCAACCACATGTTGTGCTGTTTGTTGTCATAATTTAATTTATCTTGATGGACAATAAGCAGAACAGAGACAGGAGAATCTCTTAGACTAGAGACAGTTGCAGTTCCAGGCTGTGATTCTGTCCCCTGTTAAATCAATAGCGGGAGCTTTGACTGAACGGGTACTCTCACAGGTTCGCGACTCTCCGTACTAGCTATCTGCAGGTTCCTTATCACCCAAAGCATTTCGTGCATAGGGCAGCAGAGAGAAAGAGAAAGGACACTGTGCCTGGGAGGCAGGGACAGAGGCCAGAGTACCAGGAGGCAGGACCGGGCTGCTGGATGGTCAGAGGCTGCAGGGGAGCTCTCTCAGCCCAGGGAACCAGCATGCTGAAGCAGCCGAGGCTATGTCTGAGCTTGAGCGTGCCCACACGCTCTAATGGTCTACTCGGCCAGTTGAGCACAGGAAAAGGAACGGAAGAAAGCGAGAGGAAAAAAAAAAAGGAAGAAGGTGTTTCATTAATAGATGATATTCTTGCATCATTTTATTACACTCCGATTATCTATGCAGCGTGTGGTTTTTATCTCCAACGTTCCCAGCACTAGCTTGGAAGATGTATTATTACATCCCCAAGTATCTCACTTTGTTAAGGAAGCGTTCCCCTACTGCAAGAAGCGAATGGTGGAACAAGCCTGCTCCATCTCCTGCGTGTCCCAGGCTGTGCAGCTCTCAGCCCACTGAGACAAAGCCAGGGAATACGAAAACAAAGAACAGCAGCTTCGTAGTTCAGTGTTTT